TTTTTTGGGAGACTTCCCGCGTACCACTAGAGGGAGCCCGCGTACCACAGTTTGAAAATGACTGGTCTACATGTTGTTTCGGTGTACTGTCACCAGGGGGCAGTGTCAGAAATAAATGGAACAATAATGTGGACTGTTTTTGTTATTTGCAGGTGCTATTGTCGATCCTTTAATAAAGACATGAGTCATCATTGTGGTTCTCTCTGCTCTGTTTAACTCATTTCCTTTCATTTGAACTTTTTAAACAGTCGCCCTTCATCTTACACACAGCACCATCTTCTACTGTCCGTTGGTTTTTTTGTTGGTCACTGGTTGCAAATCTAAAATTGCTCAGTTTAGCAAAAGAGCTACTAAAATGAACAAAAACGTGCTTACATGAATTCTGCTTCACACAACACCCTCAAACCAAATATGAGCGTTTTCACTTGTAAGAACACGGCTGATGATACACGACAACTTCAGACCTGAACTGATTCTGGTGACATTTTCTGGACTTTTTGCCTAGAAACATATGAAGAGCGATGTTTGAAGATTAATACCAGTCTCATGTCAGGGCATCAACTTTAAAGTTACAGGTAAGAGGTGATTAGCATAGCTTAGCATAAAAACTAAAAACAGGAGGTAACTGCTCTGAGCTCTCTCACAACATTTATATACGGTAATTTTATATTTCAGCTTACCCATTACCCAAGCAGTACTTTACCATAAGACACATATGTGGTGATACTGAACAAGGATATATGGTTTCTGTTGAGGTTTTGTGGATGCATGACTATCAACCATGTGATATGAACTTGTTTGCCATTTTGGACAATCAATGGCAGGAGTCTCAAACTCGTGGCCCCGGGGCCCACGTCACCCCTACATGCTTTTTGTGACATTTTTGTTTGGTGGTGGTGTGCCATGTGATTTTTCTAATGGGAAGTATGTGCCGTGGCTCCAAAAACACAGAACTAGACTATCTGGTAACAATCAGAAAAAAATGGTGAAATTACTTCTAAAGTCCCAGTCACTAACCAACAGACTGGTCAGTGAACCTGTGGTAACCACCTCATGCTCGGAAAAAACATGAATTCCCTAACCGGTCGGTAAAAACCTCCTGAAATCTTTGGTCACCAGCTGCGATTGACGTTTGTGCCTATGACGACTTGTTGCTTTAATGTAGCTGCATAAGCAGCATCCCAATGATGTTAATCTAAGAATAAAAGATGGACACTTCAGTTTTAATTTCAGGGACAATTATTACAGACTGCCCAGTGTTCATCAGCCTAGAAAAAAAAAAAGCCGACAGCTGTTTCATTTGTTCTTCATTTTCACATTTGTCTTCCATTTCAGTAATACGTCTCCCGATAATATTACTAAATATTTACACACCCAGAATCCATTTCCCTCCTCCCCACGCTGTGTTCCTGAATGTAATTCACTGGAAGTCTAACAAGAACTCAAATGTATTTTGATAAAGCAGTAAAGCACACAATTTTCAAACTGACACAGAGAGCAAAAGATAAAGACTCAGAGAGTCTGAGTAATGCACACCCACACCTTCAGCTATGAGATGTTTCAGCAAAAAAACACCCACAGCCACAAAATGAATCTGTCTATCTGTACAGTATGAGTGTACTGTGTAATTGCTTAGGTGCTAAACGTGCCTTGTCCCAGGACCGTGTCCTACAAGTAATGTAAATGGACTGTGGTGGATGGAGAAAGGAAGAGCTTTAAAGCTCTAAATTTGCATCCCATGTATCAGGTTGTTTTTTTCCCCGTATTTAACGATGACCTGGATTTTTCCTTCAACTTCAAAAACTGGTTTAATTTTATAACATCACTATATCACAGTTGCATTTCCAGATATTTTCCCAGAGCAGGTTTAGGGGTCTCCATCCATATATTTAAGTCAGGGGAAGAGTTTATTAGCAACAGCTGTATTTGCAGAATGTGAGTGAGTCTGTGAGGTATTAGTTTTACATGCCTGTGAGCCTGAACAAAGTCAGAGTTGGAAGTTGAAGAAAAGATGAGCGCACAACGGGAGCTACGGAGCTAACAAAGGAGAGACGGCAAAGCAGAGAGGAGCTGCCAAAACACAGGGAAGCGTGCACAGAGTGGGGCATTAAAAGCATTAAGAACAAAGATTATAACTACATGGAAACTCTGGTACATAAAATGTGCAGATTTGTTCATTTGCCATCTCGACTGTTCATGAGCCTCACTCTTCAATAAAGCTGTTGCAGACTCTGGTATTTTCTCTGTCTGTTAATCTCTTTTTCTTTCTCTAAATTGAAATCGGATTCGTGACTTTGTCACAAATACCAATAACCACAGTAATACCTGTCTTTTGTTAGGTCTCTACCCCAAACAGCGATTAAAGCTCATTCTTCACAAGGTAAGTGAACCCTGCAGTGACACAAGCTGTCATAAGCTGCTTGATAAATGCCTGGCGTGCATGTAATATGCAAACTATCGCGCACCTTTTGAGATATTTTGGGGACATGCCGACTTACATTGTTGGGAGAGACTGTGAGGACACTCCTGCTCTTCCTCATCTTTCCGTAAGTATCTCTCGTGCTGTCCAAACACAGCAGCTTCCCGTGCAAACCTGGAAAAGACAAATAGAGAGAATTAGCATTTCGTCTTTTCTGGAAACATCCAGGTATAATAATCTATACTTTATTAGGAGTGACTCAGAGATCATGTTTTTTTACTGCTTGTGCCTGTCACCTGTACACAAACACACACGCACCAACAATGAGTTTAGGATTCAGGCTCATCTTTGTTTGAGAAAAATAAAGCAAAGCAGTCGAAACAGCCTCGCCTCAATATTGCTCCTATGAGTGTCATGCATCAGCGCAGTAGCACCAGCATGCAATAATGTGCAAAATTTTCTTCTCGTAAAAAACAGACCAAGAGAGGAGCTGGCTGGCAACTGTGGCGGCGCGATGGCTCTAATGATGCATTGATTTTTGTTTATCTGCGTTTCCTACGACCCCCCAGTCCTCCAATAAAATCTGACTCATGTAGAAAACAAATAAAACCAATTTTCAAATTTCAGTGAAATTTGGTGTTGAAGGAGGATGAAATGAACAAGATTATTAGTTCTTACAAGAGACGAGATACAGATCGTGTCTAACAAATTTATTAGACCACCACAGAGGTTTAAGGTTTATGCCACAGCTTCTCTAATTTAACAATATTGATAATTACCTAAATCACTTTTTATGGCAAGGAGGCATTTCTGTAGTCTATTGATTACCAGATAGTGGAAAAGGGGTGGGATTAAATAAGCTTATGCTTCTTCCTGCTCCTTTTTGAACATGAAAGTTATTTGTAGTTGTGGTTGCTCATTTTCTTTTTGTTTTGCTTTGTTTATTTGTCTCTTTTAATTCTATGTTGTTGTACTTTTTTAACATGTTCAAAATAAAGATTCAATCAATTATGTTTCTTTAATGGTTAATCCACCAGCATGAGCAAGCTCTTTAATCAAAATGATGCTTTAAATTCTGAAATATAAATGCAGTACACTGGGTTCAGTTCCACCATCAGGCCGGGAGTTTGCGTGTTCTCCCCGTGTCTGCGTGGGTTCTCTCCGGCCTCCTCCCACAGTCCAAAGACATGCAGTTAGTGGGGTTAGGTTAATTGAAAACTCTAAATTGCCCGTAGGTGTGAATGTGAGTACGAATGGTTGTCTATGCCTATGGTTTAGGCCTCTGACAGACTGACGACCTCTCCAGGGTGTACCCTGCCTCTCACTCCAAGTCAGCTGGGATAGGCTCCAGCTAGGGGTGGGCGGTAGAAACAATATGAATTTCGCAAACGGTAAAAGTTTTGCCTATACAGCTCTACCACGATAGCGCATGTTGATGGTGTCATCAAGCTGCGCCTGTTTTGGTCGAAAGCATCACAGCGGCTGCAAGCATGGAGCTTACACGTGGGGAGGAGGAGGTGCGATGTTGCTCATATGCACCTGGTTTGGGTTTAAGCAGTCGGATGTTAAGCAGAAAAATATCATCTGCAGATTATGCCGGGCGACAGTAATCGCGAAAAGACAAAGTACGTTTTGGAATATGAGGAAAGCCAAAAACTG